AAAAAAAAAAATTGCGGCGGTGAAGCCGTCAGGTGAAGCTGTGCTCGCACCGGCGCCTGTCCCGCCACAGCCGTTTGCAGCAGCGGGGGGGGGGGGGGGCCCCGGGTTTGGGGCCCAGCCTGAGGGGCGCTTGGTTTGGCCCAGCTTTCGTAAAAAACCAGGAGCTCTCCCAGAGTCGCTGGGGCTTTGGGAGAAGGCGGTGGAGAACGATATCTGTGCCCCGCAAGAAATACTCTTTGACGTTTTTCAGAATTTAATGTATCCTTGTTTTTTTTTTCTCTCTGGAATCGGTGCCTTTCAGCTTAGTGCCCACGCTGTGTTTCCTATGTATGACTTTGTTTGAGAAATAGCATTCCCTCACAGCTTTTTGTCTTTTCTTTCAGGGAGGGAGTTGCTTTCCGGTAATAGCAAAGGAACGTGATATTGAATGAAAACACACCAACAGCATCCTCATTAGTTGGAGCCTGACTCTCTGCTTAATGTTGGTTTCTTTGTCATCAGGTCTGCTAAAAAATGACAGAATATAAACTTGTTGTCGTTGGAGCTGGTGGTGTAGGCAAGAGCGCCTTGACAATACAGCTAATTCAGAATCACTTTGTGGATGAATATGACCCTACAATAGAGGTAAACAATTTCATCTTATACTTTTTGTGAAGAGAGATTATCAGTAATAATGGTAGTTGTTTACTTTTGGACAGTTACCACAAAAACATAGAACAAAGCTTTATAATAAAAAGAGCTCAAACATATAATGGTCCGCACTGGGCCAGCATTGGAGAGGAAATAGCTGTGCTTCTCGATCTGGCTGTCAAACAACATCTGCAGTAAAGAATTAACAATTTTTATCAATTAAAGTATGGTGTTAATTGCCATATCTTGTTGGACAGTTTTGGATGCATGTTTATAGGATCTTGGGTGACAAAGTATTTGCCAAATTCACTTGAAAGTGGTTGGCAAAACTTTTCATGTCTTTGCATGCAACCTCTTAAATGTGATTTTCCTTTTTGATATCAAGAAGGAAAATTTGTTCTGAAATGCATGCATCAAGCTTTCTCAGCTCCTATCATTAGGATCTGTTTCACACGGTGAGAAATGTGTCCTGGAATGTTATGGTGAATGAAGCAAAATTTGGAGCCTGTTTTTTTTTTTTTTTTCCTAACACACCAGTGCATGTTTCTGTATCTAGAAAAAAAATGTTTTAAGATAGCTACTGTAGTAGATTCTTTGAAATACATGGCACAGTTCCTCAAAATCTGAAATTGTATTTAAGCTTTAAAAGCTGTGATATTTTAAAGGCTTTTAATGAGCAGGCAAGCTCTGCCTTTTAAATATAAGAAAAATACTAGTGTTGTCTGAAATCTCCTGTGGATCGTTGGATTTAATAACCTCAGACCATATAAAGGGAGAAATGACACTATAATTTACCCAAGATTTTTATGTTCCCAGCACTGAAGCTCTGTAGCTTATGACTTCATTTATATGTTTATACAATGAGGCACTTGCTTCCAAGCTCACTTGAAGGAATCGCAAGGGTTTAAATCTAGGCTTAAAATGGTGACTCGGAAAATGGCTATGTAGTCATTTTCAGGTAGACATAAGCGAAAGGAGCCAGTGCCCTGAGGTGGTAGGAAGCTGTCTTATTTTAGCGAAGTACAGGCCTGAGTTAATGTGCCCCAAATAGAAATGTGTTGGCTTGAGTTTGAGTTTACCTTAACCTGTCTGTGTGTTGTCTTGTTTCTCTGTTGCATGGCCAAGTAGTGCTTGTAGAAGATTTTGTGAATAGACCTGTGGAGAGAGGAAGAGTGACTTGCACTAGGAGAGCAGCTCTTTCAATTACTAAGTGTGAAATTTTAAGACAACAACCCAAAACACACTTAAAAAACAGAAAACACACAGAACTCATTGAGAGGAATAAGCAAAATGGGATTTTACTTTTTCCTGCAAAAGGAACTTTGGAGGATGTTGGTCTTTGTAATGCTTGTTCATAATAATCTGGGTTTCTCTTGGGTTAGAGGCATGTTTATGCATTACAAAAACGTATTGTGGAGGAGGTTCTATGTTAGAAGTTGTCATATAAAGCCAGAACTGCGTAAACAATTTAGGAACACAAAAAATTAAATGCCAGTATTCCTGAATCACTTGAGGGATTTTGCTAATCAACAGGCTGAGTATTTTGAGGAATACCAAATACATTTTAATGTAAAATAATAAAATGAAAATACAGTTCCTTATAGAAAGAACCTGAAATCCCAGAACTGTGGCTTTTATTTGGTTGTGTGCAAGATGACTGTAACATTGTGGTGTGGTCCAGAATCAGTATGTTGTTGTGAAAGAAAGAAACCTTTAACCCAATGGGTTTTACCAGCATCCACAACTTGTCGCATGCAACAGTATTAATCTTCTGCAACTTCTACAAGTTCTTGTCTGAGTACTAGTTACGATTTTTTGTCTTGTAAATTCCTTGAGGATGGAGACTGTATCTTCCTACTTGTGGTAAATCACCTTGTGCGCGCTCACAGTGCTATAATCATGCAGGTAAGCTTGTAGGGAAGAAAGAATTCAGTTATAATAAGAGTGGTCTGTGATTTGGAGTGGCAAGCAGGTTGCAGAGAATGGGTTTGTGATTGGGTTTAAGTGCTTCAGTCCTTGCCTGGGCAGAATCCTATTCAGTTGAGAAGGGTTGCTTGATTGTGCTTCCTGTATAGATGCAGTTGTGGTGGTAGGGGCTGGTGAAAGAACAGTAGCTGTAGAGTGTTTTTTATGCAGTGTGAGGAAATAAGGCAAAAGTTGCTTTGACTAGTAAATAATAACAGTTAAGATGGCTCAGTAGTGTCACTACTATTGTTTCTCACTTACTGCTGTTTCTTTCATCGCCACACGGCTGTTGACAAAATACTCATTTTCCCTCACAGATACATAATCAAGCTAAATATTTTGGGGTGGACAGAGAAGGGAGTTTAGTATTTGTAGTGGATTCCATAAGGACACAGTTATTGAATAATTTAAATCCTTCCTGTGATTAACGAAACAAAACTCAACACTTTTAAAATTCTCATGTTGTGAAGACAACGCAGTTAAAGAGAGGAAAAAAATATACTAGTTACTTAATCACAGTTGCATTTACAATGTTAATATTTTTGCTGTTTTCAGTGGAGTAGAATTAATGATTCAACAAATAACTTGTTTGGAAAATGTGAAGTTGCATGGCCTGCTTGAGTATTTACTTATATCTGAGCATAGCAGATGACGGGGGGCAGGGGGAGGTTTAAAATGAATGTATGTTTGGGTGGCTACTGTTATTCAAATATATGTGCCTTATATGTTTCACAATTTCATATCTTATTTGAAGTAGATGTCCGAGCACAGATTTGTAGCCAAGCGATTTTAAGTGTTTTTTTTTTAACTGTATGTACACTAACACTAACCCTCGTAAATCTGGCCTAATACACAGACCAGTTGGACTAGTGCCCTCTACCGGTCGAGGTTTGTTAAATCTTTATTTGTGCTCTCCTGTGTGATAATACAACTTCTAAATTTTTTATTTTATTTTTATTTTTTCTACAGCTTCAGCATGTTTAGTGCTAAATATATGTCATCTTTTCAGTGTCCTAGAGAAAGAACAGCTTTCCTAGTTGCCTGTCAGAGGCTTTTCAATTGGATTAGCAAAATCCCTTAGCTGATTTACGAATACTGATATTTAAGTCTGTGTTCTTAAATGACCTATGCACCTGTGAAACTTCCACCAATATTTAGTAATAGTTTAGTCTTCGTAGCTGTGATATTTTAACATTAAATCACTGGTATAATGGATTTTTACAAAATAATAGTTAGTTGCTTAGATGGGATTTATTAAGCAGTGGGGTTTTTTTAGATAAATTCCATATGTAGCATATAGCTGAGATTTCCTATCACATTTTCTAATCGGTGCTTGTGAACAGATGGAATTATTACTCCTTTAGTATAATTCGTGGTGATTTTTATGGCTTGTGAAAGGCAAATAAAAGCAAGGCTAAATGATTAATGAAATTAAAACTTTTTTTATAGAGATATGCTGAGTCTGTATACTGGGGAAAATTGCAAATTCATACTTGGAGTCGGGTACTACTTCAAAATTAACTTTTAGTTTGCATTTTGTTTTTACTTAATAGCTGTGTACTGGGTGTTTCTTATTGTTCTTCCGTTGCATTCATTACTGCAAATCTTCCAATGTGCAGTAAAGCTACTGGATTTTTATAAGTTATGAAATTTATAGATTACAAGGTTGGGTTTTTTTGTTATTAAAGGGGAGTCTAGCCATTTGGATGCTGCAGTTGCATTTTGAAGTAGAAGTGCCACAAGTAGTACAGTGGCATAACTTTTTGTTACATCCTACTTTATATTTTGCAGGACTTGATAATTTTTACTGTATGGTAACACTTAAACAAATTTTATCTTTGGTATGTTTACGCTGATATTCACCATAATGGGGGTCGGGGTCCCAGTAGCCTGAGTTTTTAATGTGGTGCTTCAGTTTGCTTTCCTACACTGACAAATGTGATTTCAGGTTTGATGTTTTGCAGGGGAAAAAGAAAAAGGCAAAAAAGCAAAGTGCTTATTATTTCAGTAGCTTGGAAGGAAATCATAAGCTTGAATTTTCTCCCACGTCTTTCTTTTTCTTCTGCCTCAAATCCGCTTTCTAGTTAGTGACAAAATTTTCTCTCCAGAAGCGAGCAAAACAACTATCATCTCAGTGTTCCTTCTTTTTGTACCTGTGCTGTGCTTTATGCTGGTGCATCTTTGCTGCTACTGCTAACATGGTAGGCATGCTAAAGCCAGCAGTTCTTAAAAGTGATTTTTTTTTTTTCTCTTAAAAATGACTTTTCTTTGATGAAAATTACTTAAAGCTTTTGTTTAGAGCTCAGTTGAGGGGAATTTCTTTTCCTTTGAAGTGCTGAGATGTAAAGGAATAATACAGGCTTTTCAAGAACTGTTTTTCATATTTTTAAACTAGCAGTCAAATTGCAAGAAGAGAAAATGAAAGCTTTGTAAACATGCCTAGTATAATGATAGAAGTTCTACCAGAACTTCAGTGTGAACGGTACTAAAGGTATCATAGGACATGAGGGATCTGCTAATGAATTTAAGTGAATTAGAATAAAGATGTGTCCTTTGGGGGAGGGAGGGGGTTTGGTGTGGGGTTTTTTTCTTTTTTTTTTTTTTCTTTAAGCAATGAGATGGACTATTAACCTTATTTTAAAACATGTTGGAGCTTGTGTATTTGTCTCGGCTCTATCAATATTTAAACAGTATTGAAACATAAAGCATAAACATAGCATAAAGTAAGTTAGTTACTTCTTACTTGAACACTGAATTTACACTTCTGTGAAATAAATATTTCCAAAATCATATTGGAGGTAAATTTTTACCTTTAAGGTAACAGTCAATATTGTTTTACCTGATACTGGTAAATGTCATCCAGGCTCAAGATGAATGTGAGATTACAGAGTTTGTTTAGTTTAAGGTACTGATTCTATACCATTATCTTCTGCTTGTTTTTTAGCGTGAGCAACAAGAAAGAAGAGAGCCTTTTGTAAAAATACAAGTAAATAGAAAGTGTACAGGAGTAGGTATATGGTGCCTTAAAATGGGTACAAAGGAAGGAAGGTCATTCTGAATTCATCTTGAAGTTGGCTAGAATTGCAGCTTTAATTCTTTTGATTCCCTTCCCAGTAGCTTAGGTGCACTTCTGTATAGTGTTAAAAAGAACAATAGCAATATTGTGTTAATCTCTAGCTAAGGGATCTGAAAGGTAATACCAAGATTTTGTGCTTATACCTTTTATTTGTTACAAGTACTGTTTACTGAGAATAATTCATGGCACTGCTCAAAGACCTATTTTAAAAGCTTATTGACGTTGTTTTATTTCAAATATATAGATGTTTATAGAAGTTATTGGGAAAGTAATGCTTATGTTCTTATCGCTAAAACTATGTACTCATAGAAGCCTAGCACCAAAAAGAGCTGTAAATAGACATGAATATCTAGTTGCTTGAGACTTTGTACAGATTTTAGCCACTTGAATCGGTGACCTGAAAACTTTGATAGCATTGAAATTGGTTGTTCCAACATCTCTGTGAACCAACCCGTCAGGGCTTTTATATGACTCTGTTGGTCTGTCTTGGCTAAAAAGCTTGATCTTCAAATATATTAACACAACTTCGATAACTTAATAACGAATATCATTATATGTACCTGCTTAGGCATACGAAACAGATTTCCTGTCCCAAACACTGAAAGCTTTTTATACTTAATTTCATTTTCAGTGGCATAGATTTTTGGAGTTGTCTCTCTTGTGTACTCTTTCTATTTTATTATTTTGTACATTGTTGTGGCACAATGCTTTCGTAAACATCCATAGAATGAAGGTCAAATTTTACTTTAAAAAAAAAAAAGGTAAATTGAGTAAGCTTAAACAAAGTCAAACCTTTTAAAATCGGGATTACAAGTTTCGTCAATTCTTCTTTTAACTGAGACAGAGGGGAGATGCTTTTGATCTGAATCCAATTTGTACTTTTTGTCCTTTTGTGCAAAATAAGAAATAAGAACACTGCCCTTTGTGTGTGTGTGTGCGCGCACGTGTACTGTTACTCACTGAAGATTCAGAATACAGATAAGAACATGTTCTTTCAGTGCTCTTTCCACTTCTGGATTACTGTATACATGTAAATATGGAACACTATTTTCCTACTGTCATTTGTCCATCTGTAAAGTTGGATTTTTAACTGTTTTCAGTCATGCTCGATTACTAGTAAACAACTTCAATATCTCCTGAGTTATAGGTGTTTGAAATCTTACTTTTTTGTGTTTAACCAAGGTTTATGTTTTTTCCTTTTCTTAGGATTCCTACAGGAAGCAAGTAGTAATTGATGGAGAAACCTGTCTCTTGGATATTCTTGATACAGCAGGTCAAGAAGAATACAGTGCAATGAGGGACCAATATATGAGAACAGGGGAAGGCTTCCTGTGTGTATTTGCTATAAACAATACAAAGTCTTTTGAAGATATTCACCATTATAGGTGTGTATATTGAAAGATAATTGACTAACTCTTCTGTTAGGTGGATAGGTTGCTTGCTCTTCCACTAAATAAATAATGAATGATCTCTTATGAAATAGCATCTAAGGGGAAATTTGCAAGTTAGCAATATTGCAACTTATTTGTGCATTTGTAGGTCTGAAAATCTACTGCCTCGTTCACAAGTTAGAATATCTGAAAGCGCTTCTCGTATAAACCAATGTGACTTAGTAATTTTGCCTCTTCATAGAGAAGACTTATCTAAAGGTAAACTTTGCCCATTCCATAGATAAAATTGTGTGCTAAGAGGGAAAAAACTTAAGCAATTGAAATTGTACAGACAATTATGTCAGTTGTTAGCTTTTGTTCTGGGGGTGGAGGGGAAATACCTGTGGAATGTTACTAGAAGAGTAACATGTGTAAGCCCTGACACCTAAGACTGGTAGACAAGCACCAAATCAGAGTTCCAGGATGACTGCTAAAAAACCTGTTAGTAGTTTCTTCATAGTCTCTTTCCTTTTTTAATACTTAGTTAAAAATTTCAACTCATGCTTTCTTTGTCAGCTACATTAATGTAGAAGTAGAAGCAGTCTCTGGTGATTACCATACCAGATAATTTATAACTTAGTAGCTTACTATTATACTGAATTCTCTTTAGGTATTCTGTTAGAAGGCAATCCAGATCCCACCAAAGATCACTGAGTTTAGCAGCATCAGTTTAAGATTAGTCCCAAACACATAATGTTAAGCTATTCATAGTTAGGCATTTATAATGCTGTCAGATATATGTTGCTGTATGGTGGAGGAGTGTTTTGCTATCAGTATTACCCACAAACCCAACATCTACTCATAAGCTGAAGTTGCACATTTTTGTTACGAATAGAAGTTACAGTTCCTCATTTAAGGTGGGATACCATGGCAGTTCAAGGTAATCAAAGTCAGCAGGTGCAACTGCCCTGATCACATAGTTTCACTTTCTCCTGCATGCCAGCAAGGCAGCTCGTTTGATTGTGTAGCGTGCTAATGTGGGTAGCTAAGCAGGTAGATGCCTACCTACAGAAATAGTTTACTGCTGGCTTATCTCCCTGGGGAGCTGTGGGATCAGGGGAGTACTGTTGCAAATGAGAGGGGCAAAATGGCTGCTGCATACTAAGTCAGGGAGAGATCAATATTGAGAACGTGGGTGCTTTCTTTCAGGACTGTTTCTTTTTTATATTTGAATTGAGGTAGCCAGCCTTTGTATAAATTTCATTACATATAAAGTGTTCTAATTGAATGTATTGGTACTGGTGACTTAAAAAAAAACCCAAACAGGTAAGAGTTAGCACAGCAGGGATGACAAATGGAAAAAACAAACCAACATATCTATTGCTCTCAGAAAAACCATAAACTCCTCTTCATTATCAAACCAGATTATTTACAAATGGGTTTCCTCTGGTTGTGGAGGAAGAAGGGAAGAGGGTAGGATAGATGTTGATGTAAGGGGAAGAAGGAGCATAGAGGTTTTTATGTGGAATTTTTGTTTTTAAAGAGAGAGTTGCAGATTTGCATAAGAAGGCCTTCCCAGTTTATTTCAAAGAATGTTGTGAGTTGAATGCTGGAGTTTCTACTGTGCATTCACACACCTGTGAATGACCTTGCAGACTGAAACTGAAGGCTTATAAATAACTGAAAACATTGACTAAATTAAGGAACATATGGCTAGATTATTTGGGAAGGCAAAAGTAATGAAATTAATGATTGTTATTTGAGATTCTTGACAAGTACATCTAACTAGTATTTCAAAATGCTTTCTAACTATTGTTTGAAAAGACTCCCTTACCAAATTTCTCCTCGTAGAGAACCAGACCAGTGGTCTTCAAAATTTAACCCTGCTGGTCTAAATGCAGAGTTTGTAATGCTGTATTTAATTAAAAACAAAAAAACAAACAAAAAAACCCCAACAAAACAAAAAAAGTCCCCAAAAACCAAACCAAAATGGAGACAACAGGCATAGCACTTTTACCTTAGCAAATGAATTGAGTATTAGGAGTGCTGAGTATGAGAGATAAGTAGTAAGATTTATACCAGAGCTTCCTAGGCTTGTTCTGGCATTAGCTGTTAAAAAAAAAAAAAAAAAAAAATGTCATGATGTCAAAATCTATAGTAGTTTGCAAAATGCCAACTTTTTTTTTTTTGAACAAGATGATAAACTTGATGGTGACAGGATTAGTCACTTTATTTTTTGGTGGCTTCTAATAGTGTTATGTGCAGTAAAATAACCTAAAGTATGATGTTGGAATATGTTAATTGAATTTTTAAATTGTTTTAAAATCTACCATATAGACTATTAATATTAATACCTGTTAAATACAATCTCTCCTTTTTTTTTTTTTTCCTTTTTAGGGAACAGATAAAGAGAGTTAAAGACTCTGAAGATGTCCCAATGGTGCTAGTAGGAAACAAATGTGATTTGCCTTCCAGAACAGTAGATACAAAACAAGCTCAGGATTTAGCAAGAAGTTATGGAATTCCTTTCATTGAAACATCAGCAAAAACAAGACAGGTAAAGCTCGAAACTTACCAGATACAAATGCAGAACTCTCATCTGAATTATCGTTTCAGGCATTGACAATTGCTTGGTCCTATCAATAGGTACTTTTCTCCAGAGTACAAATTCTTGTGGTGTCTCTTCCTTCTGTCAACTCATTGACAACTGGTAATTGTTTATTAATGAGTGATTTGCTTCAGTTGTGCAAACTCAAAGAATGAGACCTGGCCTGCCATTAACTCTCTGCTGTCAGATGGTTGCAGCATTCTTAATGTTGTGAAAGGTTTTAATAGAATAAAAAGCACTTCTACTTAGAGGTGAAGTGCTTTTTTTCCTCAGCAAGACGATTAAGCAGACAAACAGCTAATCAGTTTCTTCTGTTTTAAGTCTTTTCATTAATAACAAAAGGAATTTTTCTTTGAGGCGTTGGTTCAATGTTAGTGGGATGTGCTTGATATACCTTTTTATAGCTAAGCGATTGACCATAAGTATTTTTTGAAATTATTGGATTAATTGCCTGTGTAAACTGATACTCTTCTAAGACTTTAGAGCTCACTGTTGGTATATCGTACCCCACTGGTATAGGTGAAAGAGGCAGCCATTAGGGTCCTTTCAGTGCTTCTCTCAGGGTTTGCTAGGACAAAGGTGAACATAGTGGTACATCTGTGCATTCAGGAGGAGATAAGCTATACAGATGTAGATGAAACTGATTCTGTACTTCTGGAAGAAAGCATTCTTTTTGAAAAATGCTGATTTGTGTTTTTTCTTTTAAGAGTAAAGACTTAATATCAGTACAAATTAGATCAGGCCTGAGTGGCCGAATAACTCATACTCTGTGCTTAATCAGAAGTGTTACGTGGAAATTATGAATCAGGAATTAGGTGTAGCAGAGGAGGCAAATAAGAGCAGAATACTGCAATTTGAGTAACTGCTAAATAGATTCAGCTGCATCACTTGGCAGAATTTCCCCATAGGCAGTACCTAAGTTACTTTTGGATATAAGAAATGAGTATTTTATTAGTGCAAATTTGCTACACCCACCCAAGTTTGACAAGTTGAAACCTGGACTAATTAGTAAAACTTTACAGAGGAATCAAAGGAATGCTAACTTTTGGCAATAGAGAAAGTCTCTGTTGTGTAGTTCCATTTTTTTAATCCTACCTAACTTTAATGACTGAGAATAAATTAGGCCACAAGAGTGTTGTGAAGAATGTGGCATGTAAGTGGACTTGAATAATTACAGTGTTCTTGTTTGGAAGGTGCTGTATTAGTGGCTGGCATTGAGATGTTAGGATAAAAAAGGAAGAACTCTGAAATTATATTTGAGGTTTGAAATAATGGAAGTTCTGTAGTAACATGTAGATTGTACTTTGTTTGGCCTGTTTTACAGAGCATCAGGCTTTGTTGAGGAAATACTCCTTTTGCATAGCCACTTTTAATAAAAGTACGTGGATACAATGGTATATTTTCAAAGATTGCTTCTCCCCACCCCACCTGCAGTTTACTCCTACAAGCAGCCCCATCACGCTTAGCCAATACAAAATCGCATGCTCAAAAATCACCACTTCAGTTTTATAATGTTTGTTTACACAAAGTAGTACCTGCTTTTTGTATCTCTCAGACTTTTAAGAGGTCTGCTGGAGGTTTGTACATGTTTCAGAGCACAATAGATCAGTCATATTTGACTGTCATTCTATAATTTGACTGCTTTTATCTGTGACTTTATATTTCTGGAGGTGCCAACTGAAGTGTTACAGAAGAGATCTGACTGTTGGCTTTTGTTTTTCAAAGCTGAGCTTTACACCCTCTACAGATAAGGAGTCCCTAAAGTAGTCTCATGGATTTTAAAATAAAGATACCCAATAGACTCTTTGAGAATGTTGGCTTCTAAAAGTTGGAACCACTAGGTATGGCTGCTGGTTCTTTTGCAGTGCTGCTAGCAACACGTTGTGTTATGAAACTGCTTCATAAGATGCTGTGTTGTTAAAATATTTTTGAGAAGACAAAATGGAATTGGAGGAAGAACCTGATCTTTAATTATAGCAAGATCATCTAAGTATTTATGTATATGTGTATACGTATGCATTTACATATTACAATTTTTCAGTCACATTGTCATTAAAAAAAAATATACATATATATATGCATACCTTCTTCCAAAGTAACTTTTTTAATTAGGGGATTCAAACAATTTTGCAAGCTGCATGTGGTCCGTGGACTATTATTTTTATTGGGCAGAATTCAGTCCTTGGCTAAAAATAAATAAATAAATCTAGTCCTCTCTGGTTACATGCAGAACTACCAAGTATGAACAGATGTAGTTGGTGGTCTGGCAACTTCTGGAGTCTGTAGAAAGTCTGACTTGAATATTTGGAACTAGGAACCTTCTTTTCCTTTCCTGTACACACCTCCCACCACAGGGAAACGTCAGCACTAATGCACTGTGGAAGGGGCCCTCGCCATCTTCTTGCTTTAGCCCTTCCCCTTGCCCCACTTCTGCTGGAGCTCAGAGAGCATCAGAAAGGTTTCTGGGGAAGGAAACGGGGGAGATGGAAATGGAAAGGAGTTGTCCGTGTAGTCTGTTTTGCCAAGACGCTTTTTTTAAATGATGGCATTGTATGCTCGTGCAGAATGATGTCTCAGTTCCAGCTAAGTCAGTTTTTAAGATTTTTCAAAAATTCATACACAAGGTCAAAAATAGGAAAGAGGAAAACACTGAAATGAAGTGCAGAAATAGGTTGTTCTAAAAGTTAGTGTATTTGTTTTTATTTGGTTCTGACTGCAATAAAGATTAACTTACTGCAAAAAGGTCGTGTTCTAAGCCAAATCCCTGTGTGAATTTTCATACAAATAGAGTTCATCAGTGAAATGTTTGCTTAGTGGACCCTACAACTTGAGTATAAGGCTATAGATTATTAATTTTTTTTAATTGGATCATTGACTGAAATGAATATAATGCAATTTATGAAAACTAGCGATTGCCCTATTTCTAAATGTAAATGTGTCAATACTGGTGGTTTTGTAAGGCATGTTGCATCACTTATACTCATCCTTTCACAATCCTTATGCAGAAGGGCATGAATTTCTTGGGTTTATTTTGATAGTTGTTTTTGCTTTTCTCTGTTTGACGTAAGCTTTACATTCAAATTCTTCTCTGTCCCCATGAGTGTATAGCTCCTGATGATATCAATAGCATCAATGAGAGATGAGACGCAAACTTGATTTATCCCCACCAAGGCTGCATCCTGTATTCTTTACTGGGCTTCCATTTGCCTGTGAGTTACACAAGGAAAAGCTGTAAGGCTGTAGCCCAAATGTGGTTTAAGTGTAGGATTTTGTTTTCCTTGGAACATTTCAACTGTCTTGCTAGTATTGAATTCAGAGGAAAAGCAGATAGATGGGCATTATTGTAAGCATAGTAAAGGATTCTCCAAAGCGTTAGGTCTCGTTGTTGAGAATATATACTTAAACACACTTTTGAAGTGTGTAATGAAGAAGTTGACTTAAATCACAAGGATGCTGTTAAAAGGCATTATAGTTATTTCAGCTGTCTGATGTACAATAGGTTAGGCCCCAAACTTGTGACAAAAAGAAGTTGAGAACCTGTGCCTGGTCTGATGAAGTAATCGGTGCAGTATTTAAAGAACTTCATTACTAATCTCAGTTAAGATTTACGAATAACTGATAACTTAGCCAGTTTGCTTGAACCAACTTGCCATTTTATTAGGGATTTGTCCTATCTGCTTAATGATACTGTATGTGTTTCACTCCAAGCCATTTTTAATGTAGTTCATGTGTACAGGTTCCATTTTGAAACTTTGTTTTCAATTAGTTACAACTTTGTCAGACTTCACAATGTGGATTGAGTTTTTTTCATGTTGCTTGTTTGTTGTAAGGGAAAATTTTTCCAGAAAGGCTTAGTCCTTCCCAAGAACAAGGCCCCAAGGAAAAAAAAAAAAGTTTTGATGATGTTGAAACACATTCTGGCATCCCACTTGTGTGCTAAATGACTCCAGGATGCTGAGGAAACAGGTTTGTTATTTACCTAACATAAAGATAAATAGGCGCAGCAAAAAAAGGTTACATGTGCACAATGGGTGAAATTCAGGTAGGACGGACAGCTATAATTCTGGCACTTCTTAACTTTGGAGGGATTAACTTTGTAATTTTAATCATGATTTTATGCAGTATTTAGTGAGAATTTACTGATGTATATCTCGTATTTAACACTCATAAGATAATAACATGATTAGCTTAACACACCCTCCCTCCCCAAACTAGTGGAGGTTCTGCATGTGTCTGAGTTATAGTAACTGTTTCCAAACAGTCCTTTGAAGTATTATGTGTGTTTTAGACACAGACAAAAAATTAGTCCTAAACTATAAGCTAAATATTACATGAGCTAGTAGATTTTTGCAGGTTTGTGTATTCTCTAGTATTGGCTAAGCTGACTTTACCACTACAAAGTTTTATGTTGGGGAGTGCTTTTATGCAAGTCAGTAGCATTCTTTTTGCTCATGTCCTCATGAATAATGTTGATTTTATTTGTCTAACAGTTGGTTTTAGGAGACCAACTCTTGACAAAGTGTATAAAGGTGGACACAGAACACTTTTGAGATGTCAAGGCTAACTTTCATTACTTTCCTTTAAGCGCTATTTACAGAAGCAGAACATGTGAAAATTCCTGTTTGTACTTTGGTCTGTATTTGAAATAGTCTTTCTTTGCACATAGTCATATTTTAAAATTGAATGTTTGGCTGTCTCCTAGGAGTCAAAAGCATCTTGAAAACATTGCCTCAAGGTCACGGGTTCTTTGGGCTGTTTAGATTTTGAAGGTTTTAATGTCTGCCAAAGGATATTTTTGCTTCCAGTTCTGACAGCTAAAAGAACTGGTTAATCATATTTTAGATGTATGGTCCATGCTCATTTAAGGAAAAAATTCTGAGGAATCTTAAAAGAAATTGGTATTAAAATGACTTCTTAAGTTTATAAGACTGGCGCCTGGCTCTTTAAAA